CCCTACGCCCGTCTCTCAGCGAGGCCCCGGCCAGCGCGCTCAGGTGCGGCCGTCACAAAAGTGTCGCTCGGTCTGTCTCCATGGCAACACTCTCTGGCAGGCTAGGCCCGTATAGCAGTATTGCTCCGCGACGGGCTGCGTCTCTCTCTCTCGCTCTCTCTCTCTCTCGCTCTCTCTCTCTCTCTCTCTCTCTCTCTCTCTCTCTCTCTCTCTCTCACTCACCCTACGCGCTTGCGTTTCCTTTCCCTCTTTCGGGCCATGTGTCCAGTGCGTGCGACAGAGACAGACAGCCAGTTGTGTGCGGATTGCGTAAGACACTGAGGGGGAGGCTTACCTGTGAACGTGAATGTATTATTTCGAGGTGTTGTGGTGGTGGAGTTTCGGAGGGGAGGAGGAAAGGTGGAGGGAGGGCTTCCCGCGCCACAGCGGGGTGGTTGCGAAAGATGGAATAGAGGGGTAGAGTGTATACGTGGTCTCTCTCTCCTTTCTCACTCTTCTCTTCCTTGTTGCAAGATTGGAATATATTTCCGATTCGTTTACTACAGCTGTGGTGGCGTGGAGGCGCCCTCACCTCCCGCCTTGGTGTCGTTCACTACAACATCCAACAAATTTGACTAGTCGATCGGTGACACTCTTTCATGCAGACGTAGAGCGGGACTATCGTACGAAGATTGCAGATAAAAAAGCTATGGGCGTTTTAGCTTCATCTTTTTCTAATCTATGTGTTCTGGGTTTTCGTTGCAGTTTCCCTCTTCCCCGTGCCTGATGCTGCCTCAAAGACGAAGCTGAATCCGTTCTCCGTGGCACAGCCCACATCGAGCGCTTAGTCTACGACACAGCGGGGGATCAGTCGGGATCGTGTTTCCTTCGATTGGCACCGAGAAAGAAATCTGGAACCAGCGGTGTGCGGTGGCGCTGCGCGCCTTCTGCCTGCCGGGCTCAGTTACACCTGGCAGCCGGTCATAGGTTGGGGTCACTCCAGCGCACGGCGGCCCCCGATATGATACAATATATCAGATAGAGAACGGCGGTGTTTGCAAGATCCGTACACGCCTAAGAAAAAAAACAACAGATCTTTCCAAGAATATTCAACCTCTTTTCGAATTGTTAAGATGCTTATTTTTTCTACGGAACACTGCATTTTCCATTTTTGCATTTGCTGCGTTCTTGTCTTTGTATACTTCTAGGGCTCACGACAAATTTGTGCATACACACTTTACTAAAGTTACCTTGGTTGCCAAGGTCATTCAGTACAAAACCGAGTACAAATCACGCGAGGCACGACACCTTTGCACCTCTACAGGACTTCTTTGATCGATCCATTTCGAATTATGCTATGTCAACTTTAATAGCTGTGGGTGCAAAGGTGTCCGTAAAGTCGTTCATGCTGAAAGGTTTTTACTCGTTTCCGTACAGGACCTCGTATAACATTCCCTGGGTCATGCATCTTTGAATGCGCTCAGTATAGTGTTGAAGGTTTAACTACTGCACACTAAATGTATTTGTTTGTTTGTATGATTTTGTGCAAATGTTCGCACTAAATGCAACAAATAAGTGCAGTTAATTAGCTGGACATCATGGAGCCATGGTGGACCCAGCACGTGTGTAGTGCAGGCCCTCAGTTCCTCCTCACCACGACCCGCGCAACAGTCCGGTGTGAAACTGAGGCGCGAAAGCCGGGGGAGGAGACGGGGGTAAGATCGAGTGGTCCGTAACAACTGTGGTCTGCTGTTATACCAGGTGGCTGATTAGCCCCCCGCACTTCATCTGTGGTGTATTTATGTTGTATACCACGTGCCTACGTGCTGGCGGGTTCCCTACTCGCCCGTTTAGACACTGTGGACTTGGGCGGTAGGCAAGCCCACCCCCACCCGCACTCCTGCGTGCGGTACAGTATCACTACGAAAGTGCTTGCGGTTAATCAGCCACCTGGTACAAATGAATAATTTATTCTTTGGTGTTTCTGTTATTTTTCGGTCGTAAAGTTTTCTTTGGTGTTGGTATCGTCAACCTAGATCGTCCCAGTTTCTGGGCGGCCAGCTCGAGTCGCTTGAACCGAGGCTCCTTGGGTAAATAATTAATTGAGTACTTCTTGCAGTTTCAGCAGCGGCGGCGCCAGCGGCAATGAGCCGTGGTATAGAGCCCCCGCGCATAGGGGGAGGATAAATGTGTTCCGATACTGCGTGGGGCATTTCATTGTAACGATGCGAGAATGTGGGGGTGGGGGAGCAGGGGCCTGCGAGAGCGTGTGCGCGAATGCCAAAGCCCCCTTATACCACTTCTGTTGAGCTGAAAAGCCAAGCCACCCCCTGCGCGGGGGCACTATGGCTCGCGGTCGCGGTACACACACAGCCCCCCCCTGCACCTCAGCCCCCCCCCCCCCCCCCCCCCCCCCCCGCCTCTTTTTCCGACTCTACCAGCTCACGTCCCTTTTTTCCCGCGCCCCTAGTTGTTATTTGCTGGCGGCGCTAGCACTGGCCTCGCCAGGCCCTGCCAAGCCAACGCCGCCCTTTCTAATATCGCCGCCTCCCCCGCTCCGCCCCCGCTCGGCCCCTGACTCCCCGCCTCCCAATCCCGCCTGCCCCCAGAACATCTCCGCGCCGCGGGCTTGCTGGTGGAGGCGGAGGAGGCGGCGAGGGCGGCAGACACAGCGCGCGCCCGAGACGCAGTCCGCTTCCTTTCCTTGTAATATCGCTACCTGCCTCTGCTCCGCAGTGCTCGGCCCCGACGGCCCCCTCGGTCGGTGCCGGCCGTGGCCAAGCTTTACGATGAAAACAATGTTGCGAGGGATTTTCATCGCCCCCGTTACCCTCCGCCCCCCAAATCAAATTTGTTCGGAGAGGGAAGTTTCCAAGCTGTGCCGCGTTCGTTGTTGTACTCCCCCCCCCCCATAACACACATCATACGAGCAATGGATATCCCGGCGATCCCGGCCGTTACCCCCCCCCCCCCCTTTCCCTCTACCCAGTCTTATCGGAATGCTGCGAGGAGACAGCAGAGAAGGCCGCGCCGCCTTCCCAATATTTTATGAAGGTCTCACTCATTTTCATATTTTATTCCGTGGCGTCGCAGCGCGCGGTGCGGCTCCGGGCCGCGCCGCCTCCTATCTGGCTCCACCTGGCTCTGCCCCTGATCACAAAAGGACTGGAGCGAAGCAGCGGGACCACAGCCGTTAGTTTTGGTCCGGCGACATTTATTCCGAGGTGCGAGCACAGTGCTCCGCGTCGCGGTCAAACATTCGGCAGTTCGCAGTTTGTGCGTATACAGGATTTTAGTTATTTCCGTCTTTATTTCGAGGAATATATGCTCTTCTTTGTTTTGTATGTTTATGCTCCCTGCTCAGACATCGTCAAAGGGTGCGCCCTAGTAGGGCTCTCAAACCCGGGAACCCGGGTACGGTCTTAGTCCGACGGGTAGTGCCGGGTAACCCGCACACCCGGTTCCTAACCAGGCGGGTAGGTATCCGGGTTACCCGGCTCGGGGTAAAAGTGAGAGCCCCTCGCCCTAGATAGCACTTCGACGGGTCTTCCGATACTAGCAGGCACGGTTTTCTGGGGGGTGAAGGGGCGATCACCCCCCCCCCCCCCCCAGTTTGCCCAAATCACCCCGTAGGGTAGGTAGGCAATTTGTCTCACAAAACCCCTGAAAGTAGGCAACCCACAGCAAATCACCACCCCCTCACCCCGTCAGACGGACTTTAAACCACGCCTGTAATAGACTGTATGTAGTCAGTCATCTATACCCTTAAAACCAATCTCTTCGAGCACCCCCTTCCCCTCTCCTCCTCCCAGCCCTTCTAAAATTTAGAAACATTCAGGGTAAGTGAAAACCCTATACACACTAGTCGTAATTCTATAGATGGGCATACCAAGTGTCGAACCAGGTGGCGTGCACTTGCCTAGACGTTTGAACCGAGGGGGAAATCACCTGCGAAATGGTTCGTACACCTTCCCCCGAAATGGACCGAAATAAAGGCGAAATAGAGGCGAAATAGAGCGAAATAAAGACGAAATAAACGCGAAATAGTCGGTGAAATAGTCGCGAAATACCCCTGAAATACTCCGAAATAGCGCGAAATAGCCTGAAATAATACGAAATAGGCAGGAAATAGCCGAAATGGCAGGAGAAATAACCGAAATGGTAGGAGAAATACCACGAAATAGTCCGTACGCTACGAACCCTAGTGATTTCCCCCTCGGTTTGAACATTTGAAAAGTACGCCAATCAGTGTGCAACTGTCTACATTTATTTATTTTTCACCAGTGTGGTTACAACTAATTATGAGTGACGCCATTGTTTGGTGACTGTACACGTTTGAAGTTCATGCCCCCCCCCCCCCTGCGCGGTTATCAAGTTATGAGGAAAAAGCGAGTATAACTGTGTGGAGAGCGCAGTCGCTGGAAAATTCTGGGAAGGAGACTCGGCGAGCCTCCTCTGCTTCCTCTCCTCCCTCATTCTCTGGCTGCTAACGCTCGGGAACCGACCGGAGTAATGCCAATGCCTCGCTTCGGCGAGACAGCCCACGATAAACACATTATCGTTTTCGCGAATTACGCGTGGCAAAGAGGGAGGGGTGCTGCTGACGGTCATTTTCGACCCCTGCCCTGAGCACATAGACGACATCATATCCATCGACGCCACTCCCCACTCCCTGCACTCTGGACCACGCAGGTATACGTACTGCACTCTTTTGTACATTGTAATTGATGGTGAAAATCTGATACGGTTAATTGGAGTGTGACGTATTTGCGTGTGTGACACTTAGTGACCCCGCGAACAGGCTACAGTATATTAAAATAAAGCCTCTCAAAAACTGGCATAGAGTTAACGCAAGCCCAATTAACTTATTTGCGCGAAAAGAGGACTTACCTGAAAAGTTTATTTTACCATTAAGTGTTTGAAGCAGTTCCAAATTATCACCCAGCAAGCACATGACTGGGCCCAATTAACACGTTGAGTGCGGCGGGGGTAGGCAATTACATGTTTTTGGGGCCCACGGTGTGGGTCACGCCGCACTGAACGTGTTAAAACAAATCAAGAAACCAGCCCCTAGAAAACAAGGAAGTTGTCTTTGAAATTTAATTTTGAACAGGCGCTGGTCTAGCCAATTTTCTGTCTCTCGGATAGGTTGGCTTTTTAGGGGACCGGACATGGTAGGAAAGCTAGTGGTCAAAATCTGCCTATCATCCCTCATCTCTTACTTAGTCATGTTCACGGTTCAGGCGAATATTATCTCTTTTCAGCGATTTTCTAACTCGCCAAACTCACCCTCTCACGTCAGACATAATTTGGCAAACGTTCCACATATCGTTTCTTGACTATGCTCCCCAAGGCCGCCATAAGACTGGGAGGAGCTTCCGGAGCCGGGCGGGGGCGCGGGCGCCACCGTGTGTGAGGCTTGAGGGTGGGGGTGGCGCCGCCCGGCGCCGCCGCCCCTGCAGGCCGCGCCGCCGTGTGTGGAAGCGGCGTCTTCTTTTATTTCCCATCGGGAGCGCGGAGCGGGGCAGAGCGGAGCCCCACCCCTCTACCTGGCTGCCAATGGGGGGAGGCGCGGGCGCGGCGGTCGCGCGACGCTAAACGCGCTAGCGCCAAGACATACAGAGAGAGAGGGGGGGGTGAAAGGGAGAGAGAGAGAGAGAGAGAGAGAGAGAGAGAGAGAGAGAGAGAGAGAGAGAGAGAGAGAGAGAGAGAGAG